GCACATTTGAAAATTCATTCTCTTTGTCAATGCTTTAATAAATATAACAAGTATACATTTGTGATAACCTTAACTTTTTTTTCATACCTAATGGAAGCAGATCTTCATGAAGTCATTGGGATATAAGCCCTCTATAAAATATTTTAATACTCTAAAGTAATTTAATTTTGAATAGTTGAGACTCTTTTTTACCACCATCTGGGGGTATAATTACTAACATTGGATTTAAATATTTTATAAAATTTATGGTTTATCCTAAGTCATTTCTCTTAAGTACTATCTAAACTACCATCTTAATTTAGGAAACAAATTGCAAAAGTTTACAGATCAGTATCTTGCTGTCTGCCGTCTTGCTACTTGTTACTTGAAACTCATGAGCCATACAGATTAGAACTACATAGTAAAAGATTTTTTGTGTGTTCATTTTAAAAACATTTTTTAGAAACTATAGGTTTCTGTTTGAGCAATGATTTAGTTGTTTCCCACCAAGTTTGTTATGCTGTGTCTTCATTATCATTCAGATGAAAATGTATCTTAATTTCCTTTGTTGCTTTCTTCTATGACTTTGGGTTAAGAGTGTTATTTAGTAATTTCTACAAAATGGGATTTTCTAGTTATCTTTTGTTACTGATTTCTAATGTATTTATTTATTTATTTATTGAGTTGGAGTCTTAACTCTGTTGCCCAGGTTGGAGTGCAGTGGCACACTCACGACCACTGCAGCCTTGACCTGCTGTGCTCAGGTGATCCTTCTGCCTCAGACTTCCAAGTAGCTGGAACTACAGGCACATACCACCACACCCGCTGGTTTTTTGGTTTATTGTAGAGATGAAGTCTCACCAACTTGCCCAGGCTGGTCTTGAACCCCTGGGCTCAGGCAATCCTCTTGCCTTTACCTCCCAAAGTACTGGGATTACAGGCGTGAGCCACCATGCCCAGCTGTTGATTTCTAATTTAATTGCACTGTGGTCAGATAATATATACTTTAAGTTACCATTATTCTGAAACTGGAATATGAATATTCCAGTTTGTTTGATGAATGTTTCTTATGCATTTGAAATGAATTTATACTCTGCAGTTCTTGGGCACAGAGGTTGGTTTGTGTCAATTAGAGCTATTCAGATTTACTGATTATTGTTGTTATGTAGACTTGTCTTATCAATTACTGAGAGAAGGATGTTAAAATCTCCAACTACAATTAAGGATTTCTTCCTTTGGAATTGATATGAGGTGTATACACATTTAAGTTTATTATGCATTCTAAGATTATTTGACCTATTTTTCAAATGAAATGTCCTTTATTTCTCTTTATCTTGAAATCTACTTCATCAGGGCTAATTACCCACAGCAATTATATATTACTGATGACTTGAACCATTTCTCATCATGAAATGTCCCTCTTTATTCCTCTCTCTTAAAGTCTGCTTGGTCAGATACTAATATATCCATGTCAGCTTTTATATACTGGCTGTTTGCATAGAATAGCTTTTTTCATTCCTTTTACTTTCAACCTATCTTTGTCTTTCTGTTTAAAATGTCTCATGCAGACAGCATACAGGTGGATCTTCCTTTTTAAAATCTGATAATCTGCCTTGTAATTGGCGTTTGGTGCATTTACATTTAATGTAGTTATTGATATGTTTGGGTTTTAGTCTACCATAGTGTCTTGTTTTTCATTTGACCTTTCCAGTTTTTGTTTCTTGCTTTTTTCCTATCATATTGTTGGTTTTTTGAGTGGTTTTTGGTATCCTTTATTGGCTTTTTAAAGCAATGCCTCTTTGTATAACATGTTTAGAGCTACGCATATATCCTTACTTACGAAAATTTGAATTATCAAAGTCTATTTTAATATTGCACTATTTTATATTTTCCAGTTTACATTTCTCACCTCTCAACATCTTTACATTTCCCATTTCCCACCTGACAGTCCCCTACCGGTTGCTTCCCACTTCCTATTTCTCAGCATGTCACAAATGTAATAACACAACAAGAAATTAATTCTATTTACCGCTCCTTTGTGCCATATAACCTTTTACATTTGCTGATGTTATATTGTTATATTGTTTTTTTTAAGTCATCTGCCTTTTAAATAAATTATGAGAATTAAAAAACCATAATATTTTATATTCATCAAATTTTAACCATTTTTGGTGCTCTTCATTACTTTCTGTAGATCTGGTTTCCCTTTAGCAGCTTTTGTAGTGCATATCTATTGGTGACAATTTTCCTGGTTTATCTGAAAACTGTATACAGTATTTTAATTCTTTTTTTTTCGGGATGTAGCAGTTTTTTTCCCCCTAAAATTTGCATTGGTTTCTTTTTGCAGTTTCCATTTCTCTGGAGAGTCCCTATCTTTTTTTTCTCATTAAAACTATATTTTTATTTAAGTCCTTGGGCTATCTTGCAATTGGTTTCTCTTGACTACTTTTTCCCTTAACTTTGGGTTACATTTTCCTATTTCATTATATGTCTAGTAATTTTGGATTGCACCCCGGATATTATGGATGACACATTATAGATGCGAAGTGTTCAGTTATCTTCATCTGACTAGCGTTGATGTTTTGTTCTAGCTGGCAGTTTACTTACTGACCACTTTCAACTTGTGTAGTCTTAGTTTTATGCTTTGATAGAGCATATCTTTAGAAAGTTCAAGATGTTTCCCAAGTTCTTCTAAGTTGATGAGACTAGACACTAGACTGGATCTCACTATAGATCTTGCTGAGGCTTGGTTTTAAGTTTAGTTTGGTCATGTTAGGATGGGCCTTACTCTGGGGTGTGATCTTTACTTCTAACATACAGCTTTTCTCTTATCTTGGGATGCCTGGATATTAATAAATTCTTTCTGTTTTGGATAGTCAAAAACTTCAGTGTCTCTCATTACTAATTGACCTTTTGTTTTTCTGTTTTGCTCTCAACTCTGTAGCAACTGCTTTCCCTCAAACCTTGCATTTTCATCCTGCTCATGTGCGGTCCATCCCTTGGCCAAGGCTCTGAGGGAGGAACCCTATACATACTACTGTTCTCATCCCCACATCCCTTTCTATCTTGTTCTTCAGATTCCAGCCACTTTTACAACCGCTCCAAATTCTAATATTGGCCTTCTTAACTTAGTGAGCTATTGTGCTCTGCTTGAACTCCAACTTCCTGCACTGTGGTTGGGATGTCTCCAAGCAGATATCTGGGATGATCATGGGACTTACCTCATGAATTTCTTTTATCTCAGAGACTGCATTCTTACTACCTTGTTGTCCAGTACCTGAAAACAGTTGTCTTGCGTGTTATCTTCAGTTTTGCAACTGTTTCCAATGGCTAGTCTGTATTATAGTTACTTTGTAAGGCCAGAAAGAGAATTCTCCAACCACATACTTGTTGAGCACTTCATATATTGTCACTGTAACACACTGGATGCTCTATGAATATATCAATGAAATATGTAGGTTTCTTTCTTTTTCTTTTTTTGAGAGAGGGTCTCATTGTGTTGTCCAGGTTAAAGCATGGTGGCACAATCATGGCTTACTGCAGCCTTAATCTCTCTGAGATCAAGTGACCCTCCTGCTTCAACCTCCCAAAATGCTGGGATTACGGATGTGAGCCACCACACCCAGCCATGTGGATTTCTCTTTAAACAAAAAATAAATTTAATGAAATCCACATTAAAAAAACATGTGATATTGGATTACACTTTACTTTTGAACAATAAGAGAATTTTCTTCTGCCTCTGCCACCCCTGAGGCAGCAAGACCAACCTCTACTCTTTCTCCTCCTCAGCCTACTCAAGATGAAGATGATAAAGATGAAGACCTTTATGATGATTCCCTTCCATTTTGTAAATAGTAAATATATTGTCTCTTCCTTAACGATTTTCTTCCCTCCAGCTTACTTTATTGTAAAGTACAGTGTATTATACATATAACATACAAAATATGAGTTAATTGACTATGATATTGGTAAGGCTTCTGATCAACTGGAGACTATTAGTAAAATTTTGGGGGAGTCAGAGTTATATGTGGCTTTTCGACTGTGCAGAGGTCAATGCCTGCACTGTTCAGAAATCAACTATAATTCTTTTGACCTTACTTTTTTTGTGGACCCTTGAAAAAAATTTCTTTCTCATTTTTTTGTTGTTTCTAAATAGTTTTCTGATGTAGGATAAATAATCTGGGTGAAGTAGTGAGGATGAGGACTTTGCTTCTTATATTGCAAGAAATAAGCAGTTATAAAAAGCTGTAGAGTATTGTATTGACCTCTGATTAACCAGACATCTAAGTGATTGGATGTTTTTCTTGATTGTTGTGATTAGTGTTATAGAGAAATAATAACATTTAAAAAAAAAAAAGGAGATGGGGTCTCACTATGTTGCCCTGGCTGGCCTTGAACTCTTGGCCTCAAGGCATCCTCTTGCCTTAGCCTCCCAAAGTGCTGGGATTATAGGAGTGAACCACCATGCGCAGCCCTTCGTAACATAACATTTAAAGGATTGACCCGATAACCCAGTATTAGGAATACCTCTAAAAAATAGTGTATAATCCTTTAGAAATATCTTAATATTAACTTGGTCATTTAATACTTTTCACTGTCTTAGTTGTAGTCTTCTAAGTTTTGATACTATTTGCATAAAATAGTGATTATTTCAGTGCCATAGGAGTATTCTTGAGGTACTCAGTATTTGTTCTAAACCCTCTTTAAGTCCAAGATTGAAAGTTTCAAGTGTAACAGGCTTTTCATAAACTCTCAAATAGACTTTTTTTTTCCTACTCAGAAAAGGTAGCTTGGAATTGTATTATGTCTTCTTGGGAAGACCTAACTTTTTTCTGCTCAACTTCTTATTTATTGTGGAAATATCTGATCATTTCAACATTAGCCTTTATTCCTAGAGCATTAATGTTTTTGTCCAGCTTTCCTTTTTAGTGTGTTGATATAGAAGTGTTTTACAGAAGAGGCTTTAACCTGGAAATGCATGTGATGTATTTTATTCTTCTACTTGGTCTGGACATTTAAAGATCGAAAGAGAACATTCTAAAATGGGCAGGGTGATGGTGGCTGTTTAGACATGGTCTCACTGGTTTGCTTTACGGCTTCAGGTTTATAATCTTTCAAGACAGAATAGTGTATCTGTTGAATAATTTCAGAACATCCGTAGTTGGACGCCAAGGCTTCACAGATTGGGAGTATGAATTTGTTCTTTCTGAAAATGTATGTTCCTCTGTATAGCCCTTAATCTCATTCCCTTTTTAGTGTCCCAGTGAAGACCTAGTTCTTCCCAGAGACAGTTCCACTCCAGAAGCACTTCCCCTAGAAGGACTTGCCAGGCCGGACGATGCCCATTGACATAGGGCAGGCCCTAGGCCTGCCATCACTGGCAAAGGCTGAGGATACCCAGATCTCTGGATCAGATGCTGCCCTTCAAGAGGAGTTCTCCAGCCCTGAGACCGCACGCCAGCTTTTCAGGCAGTTCCGTTACCAGGTGATGTCTGGGCCCCACGAAACCCTGAGACAACTTCGGAAGCTCTGTTTCCAGTGGCTGCGGCCGGAGGTTCACACCAAGGAGCAGATCCTAGAGATCCTCATGTTGGAGCAATTTCTGACCATCCTGCCTGGGGAGATCCAGATGTGGGTGCGGAAACAATGTCCAGGCAGTGGAGAAGAGGCAGTGACTCTTGTGGAAAGCTTGAAGGGAGACCCCCGGAGACTGTGGCAGTGGGTAAGCTGAGGGTTTTATGGCCTGTGAATGAAGCACAGGGCTCTTCTCGGGTCTCATCAAGTATGTTGTCCTTTTTATGATACCTCCTCTGATACCAAATGTGTGGAGTTTTCCACACCAACAATCAGTTCACTGATTCTCTGACACCAATTGAGTGTCCAGCAGTTCAATTTAATTCTGAAACTATCTGGAGTTTGTATAACCCCATAGGTTCAGGGCTCTGTCCACAAGGCTTCTTCTCCCTTCAGATTCCCTTTGACAAGTCCCATGGCCACCTATACTTCTGACAAACTGGCTATAAATTTGGGGGTTCCCACAATTTTCGGGATTGATAATTAGGATGACATTCAGAACTCAGGAAAGCAGTTTACTTGTTACTGGTTATTATAAAGGCTACAACTAATTAACAGCCAAACAGAAGAGATACATAGAGAAATGAGTTGGGAAAGAGTATGGAGCTTCCTCTCCTGGCATACTACTTTAACTAGGAGTACCTCGGAGAGTTCACCAACCTGGAAACTTCCTGAATCCCATTGTTTAGGGATTTTTATGGAGGCCTCACTACTTCTGTACAATTGATTAAATTATTTGGCATTAGTGATCAATCCCTCAGAAGTTGGGGGTTGGGGCTGAAAGTTCCAACTCTTTAATTCTACGATTGGTTCCTCCATCCTGCAGCTATCCGGGGCCCACCAGAGTTAACTCATTAGCATAAACTCAGGTATATGGTTGCAAAGGGCTTATTATGAATAGAAAACATACTTCTCTAACTCAGAAAATTGCAAGGGTTTTAGGAGCTCTGTGCCAGAAACCAGGGACAAAGACCAAATATATATTTCTTGCTATATTACATCTGGGCTTTTCCCATATTTCACCTAATTCTAAGACTGTCTCTTAGCTCTCAACACTTTTTAGCTATTGGGGATCAAGGATTAAATTCTCCCATCCCATTCTGTCTTTAGCTTAGAATGTTTGAGAAGTTGTTCAAAATATGCCTGAGTTTTAATTGAGGACTATCCAGTAGAAGCACAACATTAATGGCATCTTGTGGTCTCCCAGGCCTGGTTCAGGCCTCTGCTTTTGTTGTTTTTGAGATATTTATTTCAGTTGGTTCCTGTTAGGCTAGAAATAAAAGCTGGTTTTCTCTTTCTCTACTTCATGTCCCCAAGACTATCTTATGATCATTCTATTCTAGAAGGTTTGCTTCATATCTTTTAGAAATCCTGACTCTGGACCCTTCAATAATTAGTACTGTGTGGTCTCTAGATCAGCATCCAAGTTCTAGGACAGGAAATCTTATCGGAGAAGATGGAATCTCCAAGCTGCCAAGTGGGGGAAGTGGAACCCCATCTCGAAGTAGTGCGTCAGGAGTTGAGACTTCAGAATTCACCCTCAGGACCTGGAGAGTTTCTGAGTCACATCGTGAAAGAGGAATCTGACACAGAACCAGAATTAGGTGAGGAACAGCTATTTGTGGTGATATGTGATTCTTTCTTGGAGAAATTTGGGGGTTGTAGTTAGTAGGTTTACCTGTGAGTTGAAATGATACTCTGCTCAAGTTGAGGTGTCTCTGGAAAGTTTGGAAACAGGGTAGACCTAAATAAACTGCTTTGATTTGGAGATCGAAAGTCTGTATATTAAGCTATTTTATGACTAGGCCAGACCATCTGGATTTTAGGTCTGAGGAAGCAGATAGGAGAAAATATGGGTGAGACTGTTTGGAAGGTTGGAGGGAATTGGAATTTGTAAGGGAGGTAAACACAGGTTTTGAAAATGTGGATGGCAGAACAGGTATCATTCTAATTTGTGAAGATTTTAATCTGTGCTCTCTGGGAAATGGTTATAGAAGACTCTAGATTCTGAAAACTTCATTTTCTTACTTCAGCTCTGGCTGCTCCCCAGCTTCCTGCACGACATGAGGAAAGGCTCATCAGAAGCCAGGACTTCGGAGCCTCACTTCTCCCAGTAGCACCTCAGGTGAGCTGGGTTCTGCTGCTTCTACTCCTGAACCAGGCTTTGAGGGTGTATCAATAGTCAGGAGGATTGAAAGGGGACATAGTCTCAGAAGTAGAGCAGAGAGGAGGACCTAACTAGAATAACAAAGTAAATGTGTAATGAATCTTGAGTTTCAAGCCAGAATGTTTTCTCAAAAACTAATTTTTTTTTCGAGTTGGAGTCTCACTCTGTCGCCCAGGCTGGAGTGTGGTGGCATGCTCATGGCCACCGCAACCTTGACCTGCTTGGCTCAGGCGATCCTTCCACCTCAGCCTTCCAAGCAGCTGGAACTACAGGTGTGTACTACCACACCCAGCTAATTTTTTTTTTTTTTAATTGTAGAGACAAGATCTCACCAAGTTGCTCAGGCTGGTCTTGAACCCCTGGACTCAGGCAATACTCTTGCCTCTGCCTCCCAAAGTGCTGAAATTACAGGTGTGAGCCACTGTGCCCAGCCTAGAATGTTTTCTAATTGTCATCTTGAATAATGAACTCTGGCCTCTGGACAAAGCTGAGAAGAGACAGATCTTATCTCTACCCCACCTAGGGCCATCTCTCCTCTTTTGTTACCTTTGGTTTATGCTAAGAAAGAAAATCATTTTCTAGCTTAGGCCACCCATATAGGAGTCAGTTTAAGATTTTGAATGTTGTCAGGTGCGGTGGCTCACACCTAAAACCCCAGCACTTTGGGATTTGGAGGTATGAGGATTGCTTGAGCCCATGGGTTCAAGACCAACCTCGGCAACTTAGTGAGACCTTGTCTCTACACAAAAAATTAGCCAGGCATGGTGGTGCATGCCTGTAGTTCCAGCTGCTTGGAAGACTGAGGCGGAAGGATGGCCTGAGCCCAGCAGTTTGTGGCTACGGTGGCCATGAGCATGCCACTGTACTCCAGCCTGGGCAACAGAATGAGACTCCGACTCAAAAAAAAAAGATTTTGAATGTTAGATCTAAAGTGGGACAAGTGAATCTTTTTTCCTCTTAACTTTATAGAAGTATAGTTGACAAGTCCTGTACATATTTAAAACGTACGATTAGGTCAGGTTTCACATACAGAGGGTGCCAAAAAAAGTATACACATTTTAAGAAAGGAAATAACTGTATTAAAATTGTAATACTCAATATATATTGATAACAAAAGATGAATAAAAGTCACATTTGACTTCTGCAGTTACAAGAGGTGCTCAAAGTGGTTACCATCAGCATCCAGACACTTCAGATTACTGCAGGGCATATTGCTTTGTCAGGCCTTTCGGATCTTATGTTGAGCACATCACACACAGTACCATGTGTCTCAAACTTAACACAAATGCATGCACTTGTTAGGCATGTTGGAAGTTCTGTTGCATACTCACGCCTCCATTGTCATTGTGCTTCTACAACGTTCTCAAAGCTCAAATACCATTTCAAAATGATCTTGCGCTCCACAGATGACAACCGTGCTTCTGCCATTTTCTTTGACTGTCCTGCCTGTCGCATTCATTTGATTAATGCCATCTTTTAAGTGAACATCACACTGCACATTGCTACCATAATTCAATTCAACTTCGAAAAGTAATACATGGATAACATCTCTTAAAATGTGTATACATAGCTGGGCTCGGTGGCTCAGCCTGTAATCCCGCGCCTTTGGGAGGCTGAGGTGAGTGGATTGCCTGAGCCCACGGGTTCGAGACCCGCCTGGGCAGCGAGACCTCATCTCTACAATAAATCAAAAAATCAGCCGGGCGTGGTAGCGCATGCCTGTAATTCCGGCTACTTGGAAGGCTGAGGCGGAAGGATCGCCGGAGCACAGCAGGTCGAGGCTGCGGCGGCCGGGAACGGTCACTGCACTCCAGTCTGGGTAACCAAGTGAGTCTCCAACTCAAAAAAAAAAAAATGTGTATACATTTTTTTGCACTCTGGTATATACACTCATGAAAGCAGGACCATAGTGAAGACAATGAACACATCTATCTCACTCAAAAATTCCCTTGTCACCTTTTGTAATCTCTCCCTCCTGCCCCTCTTCATCTTCTTCCCCATCCTGAGACAACCACTGATCTAGTTTCTGTCATCTTATGTTAGTTAACATTTTCTAGAATTTTATTAAAACGGAATCATGCCAAATTTTCTTTACTTTTATTCTTCTAAATGTAACATTTTTTCTTCTTCTTTTAGTATATCCATACTAGTTTAAAACAATTTGATTATGATGTGCTTTGGAATCATTTTCATATTTCTTGTGCTTGGGATTCATAGAGCTTTTTGGATCTCCGAGTTTATAGTTTTCATCAAATTTGGGAAGTTTTTGGCCATTATTTCTTCAACTGGTTTTTTTTTTTTTGTCTCTTTTCTCTTTTCTCTTCTTTGGAGAATAGGGAAATAATACATGTAGAATGTGTATAATGATAATATATATACTATATACATGTATTAGAGCTCTTCAGATTGTTCCGAAGTTTACTGAATTTTTTTCCCCATTTTTAAATCTTAGAGTTTCATTTTGGACAGTTTCTAGTTTATTAATCTTTTCTTCACAGCATCTAAACTGTTTTTAATCTCATCTAATATATTTGTCCCTCAGATGTATTTTTTTTATCTCTATAAGTTTGAATCAGGGTTTTATTATATGCTTCATGTCTGTATTAATACCCTTGTCTACTGATTATCACCTATATTGGTTCTGGATCTGTTTCAACTGATTGATTAATCTCCTCATTATGATATGTATTTTTCTGCTTGTGTGCCTGGTAATTTTTTATTGGATATCAGAGATTGTGAATGTTACTTTGCTGGGTGCCTATTTGTAGTCCTCTTAATGTTCTTGAGTTTTGCTTTGAGATGCAGTTAGATTATTTGGACACAATTTGTTTGTTACATGGCACCAGAGAAGCCTTTAATGTGGGATCAATTTTTCCCCACTACTACGGTAATTCCCTTTTGAATACATTCTGATACTCCTTAATGTCTCAATTTCCAGCACTGTGTGAGCCCAAGGGATTGTTTCCTCTGATTCTCTTGAGCAGTTGTTTTCCCAGACGTCAGGGGAACCCTCTGTAGATCTCTTAAGCATTCTCTTTATGCAACTTCCTCCTTTCTGATTTTCTGCCCTGCTAATAACTCTGACTGTCTTGGCCTCCTCAGACTCTGAGCTTCTGCTGCTGAACTCAGGGAGGCTGCCTGGCATGGTCTGGGTTCCCCCTTCCTATGATGCTGCCTGGATTGTCTCTCTAGGCAGTAATTTTTGACAACTGGAGGGCTCACGTAATTTGTTTCCCTACTTTTAGGGATCTCATTTGGCTCTACTCTGCATAATGTGCAATGTCTGGAAACCATTGGTTTATATATTTTATTTCCTCTGTTTTAGTTGTTTCAGGCAGGAAGATAAACTCAGTTCCTGTTACTCTTTTTTTTTTCTGTAGAAGAAGTCTCTGGGACAAGTTTATCTTGATTATGTAGTTGATAACTCTGAAAAATTGAATTTGGTAAAAATAGCTTTTTTTAGGAACCTATACACCTTAATTAAAACATTGTTTAAAGCCTTGAGGGAACTCTTCTTGGACTTGTCTGGTAAAGTACTTTAGAGTGAAGGTGAAAATAGAACAGGCAGTAGGTGGTACTTAATGCAGTGCTTCAGACCAGGGTCTGAGCTTCAGCTTTCCAGACTCAAAGATATAGAAACTAGAATACCAATGTCACAGTTTACTCTGGGGGAAGGAGAATGGGGAGGTGGCAGGGAAGGGATATATACTTTTAGTGAATCAAAGGTACCCTTCTTCCTGATTTCAAGGTTCCCAGAAACCAAGTTGCTAAGCAGGACGTTGCTTGATGAAACACATTTGGGTACTCTGTGAAATATGTCAACCAGTCTTGGAGGATTATCGTTGTTTCTGTAGTGTGTACAGAGTATCTCTATGACAGGTATATATAATTTATTAATATATTTTAACTAATAGAGTGGACAGATATTAACCATCACCTGTTCTGGATAATTTCAAGTCAAAAGTTTCAAAATGCTTAGCAGCACCAATTCACTGTTTGCAACTATATAAATGTGTATGTGTGTGTGTTTTTGTGTCTATATTTCCTTACATTTAGCCGATAACTAATTAATAACCACTCAAATCAAACAAAAGTCATTCCTATCCAATCTGAAAACCCACCCCCTCAAACTTAGGACAATTGCTTTCATCAGAAAGACCTTGATATTTAATGGAATCCTTTGAAAGTAAAGGGAATTTTAAAATGTAAGTTATCTACTTCTTCTAATCTCTTCCATAAATTAAGAACTTTATGAATAATGCCAGAATAGTGATACGATATCACTATCACTGCACAATAGTCCTTCATTATTAGAAACTGTGGCTGAATTGGAACCTCACATAGATTTGAAGGATGCATTTACTCACCTTCCTGTATTTTTAAATTTAAAGGAGCACAGTACAAGTAACTTTTTGTGCAAGTCAGTTGTAGTAATATTTCATAAACCCACAAGATGGTGCTAGTTCCACATAAAAATCAAGAAAATTTCCCCATCAAATTCCAAACTGTGTCATTCCAGAAGAGAAAATTAGGTTTTCCTCCTCTTATAAATCTGAGCAAAAGGTAAAATGGCTACCATTGGCATCTTACCTCCTAAGTAGGAGCCAGCTTCTTGGCAGTTCCTAGAGTAAGTTTGTGGCTTTAAGGGATCCCATTCAGAGGCTCCTGAGTATCTTTCTGGTTTTTGAATGAGTTTGCTGCGACCCTTGGGAATTTTGCCTTAGACTGTTTTTTGTAGCTGCTATTCTGGTGCCCATGGAATAGGCCCTGTATCCAGCAAGCCAGGCAGCCAGGTAGATATTATTGTGCTTGGCATTCATATCTTTTCCTCTGCTAGCACCAAGGCAAGGGTCTATGTTCTGACTACAAAGTCTGAGAACTCCCATATTCAGCAATGTTTGCTCAAGCTGGCTATTTTCAGGAGATTGTTAAATAGCCTCATTCACAGAAGGTTAAAAAGATAAACTACTAGCAGTTTATGCTTTAATAATTAAACATTTCAAATTAAAATTTATATTAAAATGTGGTTATAGTTAATATTCAACTATTAAGTGACACTTTTCAGCTTCCTCTCCTTTCCTTCCTAAAAAGTCCTAAAAAGTGCTTTTTTTTCTTAGCACCTGCTAATTAAAGACTTTTTCCATCTCCTTTTTCTTTGAGTCATTTCCACTTTTCTTTGATGCACCAGGGGGCAGACTTGATTTAGGACTGAGAATGCCTTCCCTTAGTAGTAGAATTGGAAGATAAACTTCATAATTCTCTTCTCATTTCTGTTTCCTGAAACCTGGCTTTTCATGACATAATGCGTGATTGTCAACTTTGGAGTTCCTGAAAATGTGAAGAATCTATTAATTCTTTCTGGGGTGAGCCTGGGAGCCTGCATATAATAATATATATCATCCACAGAGGACTTATTTGCTAAGGGCTGCATTTCACCCTGACAGCATATATTGAGTGCTCATTCTGTCCCTGGCCTGGTCTCGGGGACTGGGAAAGTAAGTGGAGTGTATAAACAGAGCCCTTTCTTCATGGAGCTTACATTGTTAGTAGAAGCAACAATTAACTAAATAGTTTGTGTGTGTGTGTGCGCACACACACATATGCATATATAGACACATAAATATTTAATAAATGAGTGAAAAGTGAAGTGTACTATGGAAACAGGTGACATTTACATTATTTCTCTTAAACCTCCCAACAGGTTTTTTTTAGTTCAGTAATATCGTTAGTTGAGACCTGAGACTCTGAAAGGTTAAGTGACGTGCTCAAGGTCCCACAGCTAGAAAGTGGCAAGGTTGAGACTTGAAACCTAGTATGTCTGACTACAAAGAATAGACTGCTAATCTCTTTGCTACACAATCTGAGGTTTTTTTGTTTTTTGTTTTTTTTGTTTTTTTTGAGTTGAAGTCTCACTCTGTTGCCAAGGTAGAGTGCAGTGGCACACTCATGGTCACCCCAGTAATCAACCTTCTGGGCTTTAGTAATCCTTCTGCCTCTGCCTTCCAAGTAGTCGGAACTGCAAGCGCATGCTACTTGGCTAATTTTTGACTTATTGTAGAGACGAGGTCTCGCCAAGTTGCCTGGGCTGGTCTTGAACCCGCAGGCTCATGCATTCCACTTGCCTCGGCCTCCCAAAATGCTGGGATTACAGGCTGAGCCATTGAACCTGGCCCACAATCTGAGTTTCTAATGGTTGGCTTCTTTGTGGAGAAATCAACGTTTTTCCACGAAAGTAAACTGCTTCTTATAGTGAATAATGACCAACTCATCCTCAACAAAATAAAATGAAACAAACAGAGAAACATTCTAGCTACACAGCATTCTCAGTTTTGAATCTCCAGTCTAGTTCTGTAGGAAAAGAAAGCTTCCTTTTGGAGATTATGAGGGGACACCTTGTTCTAGACAACCCAGTGATTTCTCACTAACTGAGAAGAAAACTGACTTAATGTTAGGTTCTAAATGCAGAACTGTTGGGAGATTCCAAATGTATATAGAGCTGTAGTATCTCTCTTCTCTGAATACACCAGTCTTTGTTTCAGGGTAAGGCTTACAACACAGTTGACTTCATTGTTGATTCTTCCTACCTTTTCACTGATTTGTACTTGCTTTTCCAATAAATTTCTTTTTTTTTTTTTTTACCCCCCCCCCTTTTTTTAAGGAACAAGGTCTCATTCACAGTGGTGTGATCATAGCTCACTGCAACCTTGAACCTCTGGGCTCAAGCAATCCTCCTTCTTCAGCCAGCTAATATTTTTATTTTTTTGTAGATAAAGAATTTCACGTATGTTGCCTAGGCTGGTCTGGAATCCCTGACTTCAAGCAATCCTTTCACCTCAGCTTCCCAAAGTGCTGGGATTACAGATGTAAACCACCATGCCTGGCTCAAATTCCTTTTTAGTTTTTTTTCCCCCTTTGAATTTCCAGATTTTAATTAAATAGTGGGAATATCAGACTTTATTCAAATACCCCTACTACAAGCAGTTGAAAGAGTTATTTTAAAAAACAGTGCAGAAAAGTCTCTTGCCTTCTGTATTTTCTTCACTTTTAAATACATGTAACTGAAAAGAAAAATACAGGACTTAAATATTTTCTGATCAGAGCAAGAAATACTGATGTAGGGATTGTCATTTTCCCCTTGACTTTTTCATTCCTTGAAATGCTCTCCCATGATTTCTTAGATCTTGTAATGGCCAGGATCCTGTGGCACATTTCTTTCATCTCAGCTTTCCTTTAGGAGGAAAGATAGGTTTAAAAAACTTTCATTGGAGTTACGGTATTGTATTTTTTCCAGGAGCAGTGGAGACACCTGGATTCCACTCAAAAGGAGCAATACTGGGATCTCATGCTGGAGACCTATGGGAAAATGGTCTCAGGAGGTGAGGGCATGAGTTAGCCTGATGGAAGGAGGTGGAAAGACTGGAAAATCTTCTGTTCACTCACAGATATCTGTGCAACTTAAAGTCTTAGGTGAAGGAAACCATTAGAGACACAGTTGGGAACTGGGACAAGTTAGAGATAGCAGAATTATAGTAAGAACTTCCTCATATTGAAAGTATTCTGGGGCAACCCTCTTTCAGGCTCCCTCCCACTTGGGAGCTTTTCTGTCTTCTTAATAAATTCTACTTTAAAAAAAAAAAAAGGAAAGTATTCTGTGTGCCAGGAACTGTTTTGTACATTGCATACAGTAACTTCCTTAATCTATGGTGAGTGTCAGATCAAATATTTGCTCACTGTTACAGAGCTTGTAAGTGGTAAGTTACGATGGAACTCAGTTGTGGCTTGCTCTGAGTCCACGTTTTTTTCTACTAAACCACACTACCTCAACCAACCATTGTTGGAGTTCTTGCACCAGCCTGCCAGGTGGTCTGTAGGCCCTTCTGATCACCTGCCCACACTCTTGTTGTGGCCTTCATCATATATCGTGGTTGTCTTGTGCTGTCTTACAAACTTCAAACACTATTGTAAGATGAGTTTCCCCAAGTGGTCTACAGAGCCTTTATATTTTCCTTCATGCTTAGGATGCTCCTTTGAAAGACACAGCTTGAGCTTCCAGTCTTCCCCATTCATCCGGGCCCACATATTTATCTCTCTCTATAGCAGGCATTTCCAATTCCAAACCTGACTCGACTAATTTGACAGAATATGGGGAAGAGCTGACAGGACTGCACTTTAATGTCATTGAGAAGATTCCAAGACCCACTTGCGTAGGTGAGTGCTGTTTCATTGGTCTGGAACCATTTCTGATCTCCTGTTATTATATTGGATGTGGTAGAGAAGGTGCAAGATATATATTCTATTACATTAGTTATAACTAGCTGTGATCTGGTTGGTCCAATTTGAATATCAAGATTGGATTGCCTTTGTCTCTGGCAGTAGGTCTGTTGACACATATATTTAAACATGGAAGAAAGACTGCACATTGGATCTGCTGCCTTCAATCTTGTGTGTTAGTTTAGCTTTCTTTCTCAGAGAGAATTAAGATTCTTACATCTGTATTGAGACCAATACAGATATGAATTGAATTCTATTACAAAAAATAGTATGTAGCAGTCATTATTACCCATCCTAACAAGAAGGATTGGAATATCTAGACTTTTCTTATAGTGAAGAGTAACCAACCCACCCTCAGCAAAATAAAATAAATAGAATAACATATTTAATCTAATCTCTATGCACCCAACATTCATTAAATAGCAACATCAACAAATACTTTATGTAAATCTTATATTTTAAGATGGAGGAAAAAGAAATCTGTACTTGTTTTGCTGTAAAATAGCAGCTACCCTTTGCTTTCTACACTTTTTCTAAAACATTGCAGTTATGTAAGACCTAACTGTCAAACTTATACACATATACACATACACACACACACACACACACACACACACACACACACACACACACACACTTTTACATATATAATAAATCCCAGAACCTTAGATGAAGACAAGAAGCAAGAATGGGAATTGTATGGCTAGTCATTCTTTCTCCCCAATGAGATCTAATTAATTATTTTCCTCTGCTAATATACCACAGAGAGAGCAATCATCACCTGAGACATGATTTTAATTTTAAGCAACATATTTATCATTATATCATCTCACAAGAATTCCTTTTGGAACAATATTTTTCAAACTGCATTTCATGACCAATTAGTGAGTTGTGAAGTCATTTAATAGTATTTTAGAAAATGAAATAATAAAATTGAATAGAAAATATCAGATGTAGGGATAGGTGGTATTTTAGGAGATATTTATTCCAAATATGTGTCTGTGTAATATATTTCAGTATACACATATTTATTACTATCTTAGCTTGGACTGCTATGACAATACTATAGAATAGGTGGTTTAAACTATAGACATTTACTTCTCACAGTTCTAGAAGCTAAAAAATATGAGATAAGGCTACCAACATGGCTTGCCAATGTCGTTGGTCTTGCTGTGTCCGCATGGAGGGGGAGAGAGGGAAAGGGGGGGAGGGAGAGAGAAAGCACGTGCGCTTGCGCATGCGAGCATGGACATGTGAGGAAGCTCTTTCCTGTCTCTTCTTATAAGGGCACTAATACCATCAGGAGGACTCTACTCTCATGACCTCATCTAGATATAATTCCCTTCTAAAGGCTCTGCCCCCAAATACTACCACATTGGGGACTGAGGTTTCAGCATATGAATTTTGGGGGATCACAATTTAGTGCATAGCATTTACTGTGGATAATAGTCAGAAAAATATGAAAATACTGCTTTAGAAGCTGTTGCAGTAGGATTTTTTTTTTTTCTTTTGATTTGGAGTCTCACTCTGTTGCCCAGACTGGAGTGCGGTGGCCGCTCCTGGCCACTGTAGCCTCGACCTGCTGGGCTCTGGCGATCCTTCCGCCTTAGCCTTCCAAGTAGCTGGAACTACAGGCATGCAATACCATGCACGGCTAATTTTTTGATTTATTGTAGAGATGAGGTCTCACCAAGTTGCCCAGGCAGGTCTTGAACCCACGGGCTCAGGCATTCCACTCACCTCAGCCTCCCAAAGCGCGGGATTACAGGCTGAGCCACCGAGCCCGGCTTGCGGTGGGATTTTTTTAAAAAGAGACTTTATTTTTTAGAGCAGTGTTGTTATGGCCTGATCTAACAAATCGACTGCTATTCCTTGTGGCCAATTAAAATATGAGAGGCAGAGACTGGAAGAAAAGGGAATATTTAATTTCTATAACCAGCTTACAGGGAGACAGGTTGGCATCCTTGCCAAAAAACCCGCTCAAAGCAACATAAATTCATTCCAGTATTTATACCCCAAATTCATAGCCCTTCACCCACTTTGAGTTTGAAGCCTATGTGCAGTTTTAGCATGACTCAAGATTTACATGAACAATTTTTGATATGTGATCACTGACATGACACAGTCTCCTGGTCATGCTGACACTTTAGATAACATTTTGGAATTTACAATATGTTCTTTTACAGTTTTTTTTAGAAAAAGGAGCAGGCGGTTACAATTTTGGACAGAATTGAAAACATAATTATAACAATCTTTTATTCCTAGAGCCCTGGCCTATATCAGTCAAATATCTTTGTATTCACAGATGGAGGGGAGGTGGGCAATGCCCACTCCAAGCTTTTAGACCCACTTCTACCTGCCTTGGTCCACTCTTCTGACCATTAGGTGGTCTAGCTTGCCCAGATGTTTCATCTTCTGCACCAGCAATAACTACTAGATAAGATTGGTTGGTCGGGCAAGGCCATGCTAGGAGAGGAGAAATGCGGTGGGGGAGGCGGGGAGAAGGGGAGGCGGGGAGAGAGGTAGGGGGTAAGTAGGAAAAATGTACACTTTTTAATCCAAACGACTTTTACATTCAGCCCAACTCCTACAAAAAATAATAATACAAGTTTTTAATGTCTTTTCTAAATGACTGTTCTAATATAACCAAAATGGTCTCTTTTCAGCCTATAACAGTTTTAGGTTTACAGCAAAATTGAGTAGAAGGTGCAGAGATTTCCCATATACCTCCTTGCAGTTGGATTTTTTTTTTTTTTTTAAGAAGTCTCACTCTGTCACCCAGGCTGGAGTGCAATGGCATGCTCACAGCCACCTCAGCATCAACCTGCTGGGCTCAGGCAATCCTGCCACCTCAGCCTTCCAAGTAACTGGAACTACAGGCATCCGCCACCATGCCCAGCTAATGTTTTGATTTATTGTAGAGTCAAAGTCTCGCCAAGTTGCCAAGGCTAGTCTCGAACCTCTGGACTCAGGCAATCCTCTCGGCTCTGCCTCCCAAAGTGCTGGTATTACAGGTGTGAGCCACCATGCCCAGCTTTACAGCTGGATTTTATTTATGACAAATAGCTTGCTATGTCCCCACTCATTTTGTTTTTTGTTTTTCCTTCATCTCATCTGTTGGCGTGGCATCATCAGATCCTGCCTTGAACCAGACTGTAAGGAGTCTATAAGGCTAGCCTTCCTTGATAGGAAAAGAAAAGTGATTGTAGGTTGAGAGAAAAGATATGTGGAAAGAGATTTAGGTAGATTAATCTGGTAGTACTGTGGAGGACAGATAGAAAGGAAACATTGGCGGAGAGGAGCCTGAAAGATGGCGGTGCAGGAGTCCAAGTGTGCCAGTAAGAGACCCTGGATGAGCGTGGAGGCCACAGTAACCACACTGTAGCCTGGTCTGAAAAATACAGCAGTTCACTAGTTTACCAGATCTGGACTCAGACCAGCGGGAAAGGTCACAGGCATTAGCAATATGCTTTTATGTTTAATAATATAGAAGAACAGTTCATAGTTAAAGCAGGCCAGCAAGGGGGTCAACTCAAAAAGCCATATACTTACACTTCTAATCAAAATCCCAAGGGATTAAAAAATTATGTGGTAAAATGATTCTTAAGTAGTTATCTGGAAGAATTCACTCAAGAACAGTAAAAAAAACTTTTGAAAGAATGTTTTATGAATGTTAGACCTATGAATATTAAGAATTTATTGTATTTTAGAGACAAAATTAAAATGGGGTGATACTGATATAAAAATAGATGTGCAGAACAGTGGAACAGAAAAGGAAGCCTGGTCTATAAAAGAATGTAGCATCTGATCAAAGGGGAAGCAACACAAATCCATGGGGGTGAGTCATTCTTCAATGAGCAGGGTCAGGAAAAAAGACTTTTTAAGGCAGCAATCCCCAACCTTTTTGGCATCAGGGACTGTTTTGTGGAAGACAGTTTTTCCATGGACCAAGGGTAGAGGAGATGATGGTTTCAGGATGATTCAAGCACATAACATTTATTGTGTACTTTATTTCTATTATTATTACATTGTAATATGTAATAAAATAAAAGAGGTGCAGACAGAAGTGGTAAATAAAATAATGGGTGGGCCATGTATAGACTAAAGTGTTGGATTCTAACTTAAAACCTGCCACCAGATGCATCTGTACAATTGAAGTACATGAACAGTTGATTTGTTATGGTCTCTGTGCAGTCAAAACTCACTGCTAATGTTAATCTGTATTTGCATTTCACAATAGAGTTCCTGCTCCTCTGAGATTCTAATGCTGCCACTAATGTGACAGGAGGCAGAACTCAGCCAGTAATGTGAACAATGGGGAGCAGCTGTAAATACAGATGAAACCTTGCTCTTTTACTCTGCTGTACAGCCTGGTTACTAACAGGCTATAAACCGGTACTGGTCTGTGACCTGGAGGTTGGGGACTCCTGCTTTAGGCAAAGAAATCAACTTAGATTTTATGTATGTCATATATCAAAATGAGTTGGAAATAGGTCTAAAAGAGGTATAATATGAAAGTGTAATAATAAAGAAAAGAATGAGTAGATATTTTAATTGTTTCTGGGTGGGGAAGTGGATGGGGAAGATTTTTGGAAGTATAAAAGCAATGGAAGAACTCATTAAGAAAAATATTAATAGACTCGGGTATATTTAAGAGGAAAAACACCCCACAACTTCTGTAACAACCCCAAACATAATTAGTATAACTAAATTAGTGAAAACCAGTTTTCATGAGCATGACAGATAAATGGTTATTTTTGCTTATATAGAAAGAGTTAAAGCAAGTTAATAAGAAAGAATGATGTTCCAGTAAAAAATGGGCAGCAGTCTTGCAGTGTGAAAAAATAGCTCATAAATGTGAAAAAGATTCATACTTTCATAATTTAGGAATTAAAATTTAAAACAATTTTTCACCCAACTGAGTGGCATATGTTTAAAAAAATATTCAGTACTTAAGTATTGAATTCTCACTTCCCCCTTGCCTAGTTTCACACACCAGAGGATGCAGAGTCATTCTGGAAATTGGATTGCCATAGCTATTAAGAGCCTTAATATTTATGCATGTTGACACAGTAATTCTCCTTTGAAGAACTCCTTTAAGGTATTGATCAGAAATGTGAGCAAATCTTTTGAAGAAAAATGCTTATCACAGCATTATTTATAGTAGCAAAAACACAATAAAACTTGAGTTCCACAGTAAGAGAAATCTTAAGTAAATTATGTGTTTATTATGATATTTTTACAATGGGCCATAACTCAGCTCTTTAAACTTGTATTTATAAAGGTTTATTTAAAGACAAGAGAAAGTACTTTTGAGAAGTGTTTTAAGACTTTATGAATTAACAAGTTCAGATCTTGTTCTCTAGCAGGTGCCTAGATCTCTGGCAGATAGTTGGAAAGACACTAATATATGAAAAAGAAATGTAAATACCTTCTTTAGATATATATGAATAAAGTAATATATAAAAGTTGAAAATCCCATCACCAAAATAAAAATTTTTATCATATGCATCTTTAAGTAGTAATAACCAGACATTTAAGCTGTGATGAGAAAAACAAAATTTTAGCTGCTAATGTAAGTTGATAAAGCACATGTAGCCAGGTGTGGTGGCTTACACCTATAATCCCAGCACTTTGGGAGGCCGAAGTGAGAGAATTGCCTGAGTCCAGGAGTTTGAGACCAATCTGGGCAACATGGTGAGACCTCATCTCTACAATAAATCAAAAATTTCCCACCCATGGTGATGCATGCCTGTAATACCAGGTACTTGAAAGGCTGAGGTGGAAGAACTGCCTGAGCCCAGCTGATTGAGGCTGCAGTAGCTGTAACCATGCCACTGCACTCTAGTCTGGGCAACAGAGTGACTCCTACTCAAAAAATAAATGAAAGCACATGTAAATGCTGGATTCAAGCATAGACCAAATTCACTTTATATTACTGTTAAACTGCATTGCAACCATAGTAAAATGACACATAAATACATTTTCTGAATTTTGGAATTTCTTGTGAATGAGAGAATTCATATTAAATCAATCGATACTACCATTTATAATTTAAATGCTACATATGGAACTGTATATACAACATGTTATAAATTATGTCAGAAAATAGCATATACATGCATACATATAGGTTCAATAAAAAAGATGAACAGAAATATATGCTGACAGTTGTTATCTCTAGGTAGTAAGATTAAGTATATTTGATTTTCATCTATATACTTTTCTCTCTTTCTAGATTTTTTTTAGTTCTCATGTTTATCTTTTATATAATCAGATAAAAACCAATTCTTTTTTTTTTTTTTTTTTTTTTGAGTCAGAGTCTCACTCTGTTGCCCAAATTGGAGTGCAGTGGCACACTTACAGCCACCATAGCCTTGACCTGCTGGGCTCAGGCAATCCTTCTGCCTCAGCCTTCCAAGTAGCTGGAACCACAGGCACACACCACCACACCTGACTAATTTTTAAAAAAGTTTATTGTAGAGACAAGATCTTGCCAAATTGCCCAGGCTGGTCTCAAACCCATGGGCGCAGGCAATCCTCTTGCTTCAGCCTCACAAAGTGCTGGGATTACAGGTATGAGCCACTGGGCCCGGCAAAAACCAATCATTTTTAAAGAGTACTTGCATGTAATATACTTGCTTTTCCCTGGCCTTAAGAAATGGATGCTATTTGTTTATGGAAGAGTCAGGAAAGCACTCTGTGAGTCCTTCTGCGCTATTTAAAAATGCTCAGTTCTAGAGCTGAACCAGTTAACCTTGAATCCTGGGCAAGTGAAGCAAGTTCAGGATATTCAGGCTGGATGATAGTTTTCTTTCTTACTGATGCCCTCTTGGTAAAAAGAATGAATGTTTTATGATAGCCCTCTCTTTGACATGTGAGTTAGCAAAAAGGTCATAGCATTTATTGAACCATTCCAAATCTTCTTTCTTCTTTTAGGAGATAGACAAGAGAATGACAAAGAGAACCTAAACTTGGAAAATCATAGGGACCAGGAACCTCTGGATGCCTCCTGTCAGGCCTCAGGAGAGGCACCTTCTCAGGTTTCCTTGAGGGGCTTCTTCAGCGAAGATGAACCAGGATGCTTTGGAGAAGGAGAGAATCTCCCTGAGATTCCACAAAGCCTTCAAGATGAAGGGATGGGGGGACAACTCTCTTCTCAAGAAAGGAATTCTGGGAAACAATTAGGTCAGCATTTGCCTAATCCCCATTCGGAAGAACTGTCCACTATGTGGCTTGAGGAGAAGAGAGAGACCTCCCAGAAAGGGCAGCCAAGAGCCCCCATGGCCCAGAAGCTCCCCACCTGCAGGGAATGTGGGAAAACCTTTTATAGGAATTCTCAGCTTGTTTTTCACCAAAGAACTCACACTGGAGAGACATACTTTCAGTGCCCCATCTGCAAAAAGGCCTTTCTGCGGAGTTCAGACTTTGTGAAGCATCAGAGAACTCACACAGGAGAGAAACCCTGTAAATGTGATTATTGTGGGAAGGGCTTTAGTGACTTCTCAGGATTGCGCCACCATGAGAAAATCCACACAGGAGAAAAACCCTATAAATGTCCCATCTGTGAGAAAAGTTTTATTCAAAGATCAAACTTTAATAGACATCAGAGGGTTCACACAGGAGAGAAACCTTATAAATGTTCCCACTGTGGGAAAAGTTTCAGCTGGAGCTCAAGTCTTGACAAACATCAAAGATCCCACTTAGGAAAGAAGCCTTTTCAATAGCCTATGCCAGATTCTCTTAGCCCATTTTTATCTTCTAGTCCTTTAAAAAAAAATACTCAACTCTGATGAGGAGTTGCATCTCTGAGTGGATATCTCTCTTCTCTCTTTTTTCATGGATTGGAGAGGAGAGAAGCTGGAAATGATGGTACACCTGGAGGATTTATTGGATTGGAATTCTTGATGGCTTAATTTTTTGTTTCTGCATCAGGAGAGAGAATATTCTTCATGTTTCAGCTCATATCTCCTTTTGGACCCATACAGGAAAAAGTCTCAATTTGAGAGCCAGTTTTAAAAATGCTATCTGGGTTATGCGCGGTGGCTCACACCTGAAATCCCAGCACTTTTGAAGGCAGAAGTGGGAGGATTGCTTGAGCCCAGTAGTTTGCAGACAGTCTAGGCAACATAGAAAGACCTCATCTCTACAAAAAATAAAGCTTGGCATGGTAGCATGTGCCTGTGGTCCCAGCTACTTAGGAGGCTGAGGAGGAAGGGTTGTCTGAGTCCAGGAGGTTGAGACTGCAGTGAGTCATGATTGTGCTACTGCACTCAGGCTTGGGTGACAGAGTGAGAACCTGATTTTTTTTAAAAAGTGCTATCTGGAAGCCTTTAACTGGATTAGCTGCAATCATTGCTCAAGGGTAGAACCTCAGATCAGCCTTTTAGAACTGGGATCCTAGAGCAGGCCTGTTTACAGAAGGGGAGAAGCATAGAGGGCCAGTGAGCTCATGTGTGTTCTTTGTCATACGGGTGAAAAATTAACTTCAAGTGCTTCTTGTTTGAAATAAACTAAACAGAGTTGCAGTTGCTTCCTATCTTATTTGTGTCTGCAGTGTTCGTTGTGTGTTGACTATAACTGAAAACACATTTTTTTCATAGAAAACCCTAGGTGGTTGAGTACCAAGATCAGTTCATGTAAAGCTATCAAGTTTATAATGTAGCAGAACAGTAACAGGACAGTGCTGGCCTAATGCCCAGGTTGTGAGAGCTTGACCAGTGCTGGACACTGCTTTACCTCAGCTAAGTTGGTCTTTGGTGTCCTCTTTCTGAACCTGCCTCCCACCTGATTGCTTGCCTCAAGCTGCCCCTTTTTCTCCTGGCATCCCAGTGGGCTGTCATTTTTGCTGAAGTGCTGTATGCTTTAAAATTATCTTTATTATAATCTCATTTTGTCTGTGGGTGTTAGGAAGAAATCAATAGTATTGGTCTAATTTATAATACTGTCTAGAGGTTTATTAACACATATATTAACCTGTCCACTTGTCCTTGTCTTCAAAAGTTACATGCCTCAAAGTCTCCTGCCCTCGAACAGTGAGACTTCCACATGCTGCCATCTTGGTCTTCTTCTCGCCTAGTTTTATTGTTCTGCTTTGGATGAGGGTCAGGAAGAATATTGCTAATTATTAGAAAGAGAGAAGGGCCAGACACAGTGTCACAAGCCTGTAATCCTAGCACTTTGGGAGGCCAAGATGAGAGGATTGCCTAAACCCAGGGGTTTGAGACCAGACTGGGCAACTTGGTGAGACTTCATCTCTATAGTACATCAAAAAATTCGCTGGGCATGGTAGTGCCCGCCTGTACTTACAGCAACTTGGAGGGCTGAGGTGGAAGAATCGCCTGAGCCCAGCAGGTCGAGGCTGCAGTGGCTAAGAGCGTGCTAATGCACTCCAGCCTGGGTGACGGAGTGAGACTCTTAATTTAAAAAAAAAAAAGAAGAGTGATGATATCTCTGAAAACACGCAGGAAACCGCAAGGTGTTGGCAGAAAATGGGTAGTACATCATTACTGGTTGTTGGGAGAGGAGGGACAAAACCCAAGTTGGAGTTTCTGGATTCCAGGAAGAATTTAACTCCCTTTGTAGCATGAAGATGAGGACTAAGACCCCACTTAAGTGGGTACGGGGAGTTCAGGAAAGCAGGAAAATAATGGAGAAATTAGTATTCGATTCGTAGGCTCTATAGTGGAGATTTGTAGGACAGTAGGATTTGAAGTTTTAAATCAGCAGTTCTCAAAGTGTGGCCTCCAGACTAGCAGCATCAGCAATTTGCTAAACTTACTGAATCAAAAAATACTAGAGGGGCCCAGCACTTTTTGTTTTAACAAGACCTCTAGGGGATTCTAATGCCTTCTCAAGTTTAAGAACCACTGTTCTAAATAGTAATTCATCCAAAAACCAAGTGTCTGCATGGATATAAGGGAATAATGATTGCAGAAGAAATACCCAGACCCAGACTTTTCTTAACAAGCAAGCCACCTCATAGAGCTCTTTAAAGTCAGAGTATAACATCAGCACTTTGGGAGGCCGAGGTGAGAGGATTACCTGAGCCCACGGGTTCAAGACCAACCTGGGCAACTTGGCAAGACCTCATCTCTACAATAAATAAATAAAAATTAGCTGGGTGTGGTGGTATGTGCCAGTACTTTCAGCTACTTGAAAAACTGAGGTGGAAGGATCTCCTGAGCCCAGTAGGTTGAGGCTGCGGTAGCCAAAAACATGCCACTGCAATCCAACCTGGGCAACAGAGTGAGATTCCAACTCAAAAAATAAATAAATAAACTCAGAGTAGTATTTTCCAGACGTTAGATCACAAGGTCAGGCCTGAAGTGTTAGTGACTTGTTTCTCTTGGTTTCTTTATGATCGTTTTTGACTCAGCAATGCACGAAGTCTGACTCAGACACAGTTGAATAAATCACTTTATTAGGAAAGGTTCAGCATTATGAAATTCCCCTCCACTAGTTCTTGGGCCCATACTCCTCCAGCTCAGCCTCACTTTAGGCACTCATCTCCAAGTTCCCTAGAGGAGTGCTACAGGATTGTAGGTGCTAATGATTTCTTTCTAAGTGTCTGTGGTCACCTCTCACCCACCTTTCCCTCTGGGCGGTCTCCAGCCCAGCCTCTTTCCTTGTTTTCTAAGTAGCTCTGCAGGAAACTAAGTCTGGAGAAGCAAAGCTACCCCAGCTAGAACCCACTTGGATGGGTTCTCTTTAGTCTTCAGGTTGAAGGTCCACACGTAGGTGGGTCCCCGCTGACTAGTCTTGTACACAGGACAGGAATAGATACTGCGGCAATCCTGCTTATCTGCAGGAATGGCCTTGATGAACATCACAGGCATGGGAGGTATCAGATCTTTCAGCTTTGCCTCTGTAATGATCCCAGCCTAAGGACAAGAATGAGAAGAACCATCTTAGATCAGACCCAGAGCTCAGCCAGCCAGCCTTGCTCCTGTCAGCAGATCCAGGGAAGAGAGACTAGAATGGCCCAGGTGCCTTTATGCCTAACCATTTCCATGTTCTCTCAGCAACCCACAATGCAATGCATCTGGTACATGGAAAACAACATTTCTAATTTTTCAGCCTAAATCACTTCTTGGAGCAGAATTCCAAAAGCTATTATTTATCATAGATTGATTAATCTCTTTGGACCTTGATTTCTCCCTACTTTGTTTTTTCATTCATTCATTTCACAAACATGTTGAATGTGACTATTTGCCAGATGTCATTTAGGTGCTGGGGATTTAAAGATGATTCTTGCCAGCAAACAAAATGCTTTAGATTTTTAAGGCTTTGGTTATGTCCTGTTTCTGCTTCTCTTCAGTTTCATATGCAAACTCATTCACACTCTAGAGCATTTTGATTTTTTGAGTAGAGAGCTACAGTCCATCTTTACTTGTATAATAGGGATCTGACCATTCTGTAAGCTTTCCAGATGAGGCCTCTTTATGATTTTCTGAAATGTCTCAATAGAGTTGTTTAGAGAATTTTTTCCTACTAGTCCTGAGAAATGATCTGAGGAACAAAAGGGTCCCTTGGTCAAATATATTTGGGAAATGATGGTTACCATACTTGAATTTGATGCTTTATAACATACACTAGCAGATAAGAAGTCCTAGCAGTAAAGAAAACAGTTTACCTTTACTTAACTTGATGTTATCCACCAGGTTATTTGGCCACAGGGCCCTTTTCTTTGCAACTTATTCATTTCCTGTGATACTAGTGCTTTATGGAATATACTTTTGAAATGCTGATTCAGAGCAATTCACAGATTATTTGTCTGAGTCCTTTTGCTATGGACAGAGTATGATTTATTTTCATGAAATGTATTTAAAAGGAAGGTTGTACCTCTTCAGGTCTTTTAGAGGCTAATATAAGGTATAGTGAGTAACAGAACTAAGGTAAGAGGGGATCCCCTTGCCCTCCAGATTTGAGTGTTTATGGCAAGGATTGGGAACAGTGGTAGAACCTTTTGTTTTCACATACCATAAAACCAATTATTTTAAAGTGTACATTTCAGTAGTTTTGATATACTCACAAAGTTGTATAATCGTCATCACTGTCTATCCCAAAACAGTTTTATCACCTCAGAAAGAAACTCTATAACCTTTAGCAGTCACTATTAGCAGTGGAGTATTGACAGCTCCAATTATTATAGTTGAATTATTTTTTCCTTAAGTTCTGTCAATTTTTGTTTTGTGTACTTTGGGGGCTCTTTTGTTAGGTGCATATATATTTATAGTTGTTATATCTTCTTGATTTATTGACCTTTTTATTATAATAAAATGCTCTTTTTTGTCTTTACAATTTCTATCTTTTCTCCAGTAACAATTTTTTCCTTATAAAGTTTAGTTTGTCTGATATTAGTATAGCCTCTTCACTCTCTTTTGATTACTGTTTGCATGGCATATATTTTTGCATCTGTTTACTTTCAACCTATTGTGTCTTTGAATCTAAAGTGTGTCTCTGTGGATATCATGTAGCTGGATCTAAAGGAATGGCCTTGATGAACATCACAGGCACAGTGAGGTGTTTTTTAGTTTGTTTTTAAAAATTCCTTTTGTCAGTCTCTGCCTTTTAATTTTAATGTTTAATCCATTCACATTTAATGTATATACTGATAAAATAAGATTTATTTTTGCCACTTTGCTATTTGTTTTCTATATGTCTGTCTTTTTTGTTTCCCTATTCTCCATTATTGTCTTCTTTTGTGTTAGTAGATATACTCTAGTGTACCATTTTCATTCTCTTGTTTACTATATTTTTTTGAATTATTTTTGTAGTGGTTGTCTTGGGGATTACAACTGAACATTTTTATATATGACAATCTACATTAGGTTAATTCCAACTTAATTTCAATCATATATAAAAAGTTTATTCCTGTATAACTCCATTCACTCTCCCTCCTTTGTGCTTTTTTCATTTTTTCCTTTTCTTTCTTTATTTATCTATTTTTAGAGATGGTGTCTCACTTTGTTACTCAGGCTGGCCTTGAACACTTGGCCTCAAACTATCCTCCCCATCTCAGCTTCCTGAGTAGCTGGGATTATAGGCATGAGCCACCACACCTGGCATGTGCTGTTTTCACTATTCATCTTTATACATTTTTTGCCCTTCAATGCATATTTAAAGTTATCACTTTATGCAGTTGTCTTTTAAATCAGATTAGAGAGAAATAAAAATTACAAACAATAATGCATTTATACTATCTTTTATATTTATATATGTAATTACCAATATTCTGTTTCTTCATGTAGGCTTGGGTTACTATCTAGTGTCCTTTCAGCCTGAAGGAACCTCTTTAGTATTTCTTGTAGGGCTGGTTTGTTAGTGATGAATTTTCTTTCTTTCTCTCTCTCTGTTAAAAATTTGAGAATGTCATACAGTCTTCATTTTTGTAAGATAGTTTTTCTGGGTATAGAATTCTTGGCTGACAGTCTTTTTCTTTTAGCACTTTGACCATGTCATCCCACTGCCTTATGGCCTTCATAGTTTCTGATGAGAAATTGGTTATCACACTCATTAAATTGGTTTACACTCATATTGTAAGTTTTGAATTACTTTTCTCTTGCCGATTTCAAAATTTTTTGTCTTTTCACCAATTCGAGTGTAATACTTCTAGGTATGGATTTCTGAGTTAATTATATTTGGGTTTTATTGAGCTTGGATGCATAAATTAATATTTTTCTTCAAATTTTGAGAGTTTTGGGTAATTATTTCTTTAAATTTTTTTTTGACCCTTTATTTCTCCTCTCCTTCTGAAACTTGTACCACGCATATGTTGATTTGCTTGATGGTGTCACACAGTCTCTGAGACTGTTCATTTTTTGTCATTCTTTTTTTCTTTCTTAGATTGGATAACCTCAATTGACTTGTTTCCAAGTTTGCTGACTTTTCTGCCTATTCAAATCTGCTGTTAAAATCCTTTTTTGGAATTTTCACTTCTTGTATTATACTTTTCAGCCCCAGAGTTGCTACTTGGTTCTTTTTAATATATATATAACTTCTCTTTATGTATTATTATTCTCTGTTCACTACTACTGAATTATTGTTTACATCATTTTCTTTACTTACTTAGGCATGGTTTTCTTTAGTTCTTGTAACATATTTAAAACAGCAGATTAAAGTCTTTGTCTAGACCAGGTGTGATGGCACATGCCTGTAATCCCAGCACTTTGGGAGGCAGAGCCAAGAGGATTGCCTGATCCCAGGGGTTCAAGACCAGTCTGGGCACCTTGGTGAGACCTTGTCTCTATAATAAATCAAAAAATTAGCCGGGTGTGGTGGTGTGTGCCTGTGGTCCCAGCTACTTGGAAGGATGAGGTAGAAGGATTGCCTAAGCCCAGCAGGTCGGAGCTGTGGTGGTTGTGAGTGTGCCACTGCACTCCAGCCTGGGCAACAGAGTGAGACTCCAACTATATATACATCTTTGTCTAGCAAATCTTACATTTGGATTTCCTCAGGGATAGTTTTTCTGTTGATTGTGTTTTTCATGGGTATGGGACATTCCTTTTTGTTTCTTTGTATGTCTCATAATTTTTGCTGTTGTTGGAAACAACATTTTAAATAATTTGGCCTCTCTGGAAATCAGATTCTCTCTCCACAAGGTTTGTTTGGTGACGTTTCTGAGATGATTCTGTAAAGTCTATATTTTTTGTCATGTATGGCCACTGAAGCTGCTTGCTCAGTTAGCTTAGTGGCCAGCAAATAATTGGACAGAAATTTTCTTAAATGCCTGGAATCATCAATTCTCAAAGTCTTTGTTGAGGGGCTGTATATGCATTGGGGCATGCCTTCATTGCTCAGCCAGTCACTTGAAAGCCGCTAGCATAGACATACTTCCCTGCTTTCACAGAACCTCAAGGTTAGCTGGAGATGAGAGAGTGTGGCCTTCTCAAGTCTTTCTTGAGCATGCACATAGTGTGTGGGTGTGTGCACAGCTCTGCACATATGCATGGCTTTCTAGATTTCCAGGAACATGTATGAGGTTTTCAAAGTACCCTTGGAACATCTCATTCTCTAGCTTGTTCTTTTAAACTTTTTAGTTAGCCTATTATTTGCTCTACTTGCTCTATATTCAGGATTCAGATTCTGAACGTGTATATTCCTCTTTACTATCCTTCCTTTTGGCTCTTGCATTGGTTTCCTAGGGCTAGTATACAAATTGCTACAAACTTGATGGCTTAAACCAACAGAAAGTTATTCTTTCACAGTTCTGGAAGTCAGAAGTCCAAGTCAAGATGTGTGGGCCAAGTGGGTCCTTCTGGAGGCTCTGAGGCAGAAACTGTCCCAGGCTGCCACTAGCTTCTGGTACTTGCTAGCAGTCCTTGACATTCCTTGGCTTGTGATACATTGCTTCTATCTCATCTTCACAGGGCATTCTCTTCCATGGCTTTCTTACATGGACACCAATCATTGGATTTTGGGTTCACGCTGATCCAGTATGACATCATCTTAACTCTAATTACATCTGCAAAGACCTTCTCTCTTTTTTTTTTTTTAAACTTTTATTATTATTTTTTATTATAAAGATGTGGGGTATAATTCAGGTTAGGTATACAAACATTGATTATGCAGGTACCCTTGTTGAGCAAAGGCCTTATTTTTTTTTTTTTTTTTTTGAGTTGGAGTCTCACTCTGTCACCCAGACTGGAGTGCAGTGGCTGCTCCCGGCCCCTGCAGCCTCGGCCTGCTGGGCTCCGGCGATCCTTCCGCCTCAGCCTTCCAAGTAGCCAGAATTACAGGCATGTGCTACCACGCCCGGCTGATTTTTTGATTTATTGTAGAGATGAGGTCTCACTGCCCAGGCGGGTCTCGAACCCGTGGGCTCAGGCAATCCACTCACCTCAGCCTCCCAAAGGCGCGGGATTACAGGCTGAGCCACTGAGTCTGGCAGGCCTTATTTCTAAGTAAAATTTTATTCTGAAGTTCTGGGTGGGTATGAATTTTCTGGCAGTACTACTGAGTCAAGGACATCTCTTTGTGCATATTCACATGACTTCCTGGGATCTTCTAGATCTTCTAACAGTTTTGCCTGATTAGCTTAGTATTGACTGCTAGTAGTTTAGTGTCATCTGCTTAATGGGATATTTGACAATGCACTCTTTTCCAGATCATGTGTATAACAAATGGAAACTTCTTCTAAATTTATCCATCCTTGTTCATCTTATTTATCCAAGCCATTTGAGCTTATTTGCCAGTTTCTTTTTGAGTTGGAGTCTCACTCAGTCGCCCAGACTGGAGTGCAGTGGCCGCTCCCGGCCACCTCAGCCTCGACCTGCTGGGCTCTGGAGATCCTTCCGCCTCAGCCTTCCAAGTAGCTGGAACTACAGGTGCACGCTACCACGCCCGGCTAATTTTTTGATTTATTGTAGAGATGCGGTCTCACCTGCCCAGGCGAGTCTCGAACCCGCGGGCTCAGGCAATTCACCCACCTCAGCCTCCCAAAGCGCTGGGATTACAGGCTGAGCCACTGAGCCCGGCATTTGCCAGTTTCTTATCCATGACAAAACATCTTCTCATGGTGACTCAAGTTTTTTTTTATCCTTCAGTGAGGAATCCTTTTAAAACGTCTCTTAAATGACATCTACTAACTCCTCTTTGCCAACAAAGAACAATATAAAGCTAGGTGAGCTTCCTTTCCTTCTAAAGCACATACATGAGTAAAGTAGACCAGGGAGATGAAATGATGTCTCTAGGGCACACAGCAGCAAGGGATACCTGGCTCCAACACTTTTTGACCACTACCTATGTACCAGGCACTGTTCAATGTCTTATATATTAACTCATTTAATTTTCACTCATATTCACTCATTCTATTCTCTCATTTAACAGTGGAGATCTGGAGAGGTAAAACTATATCCAAGATCACACGATTATTAAATGGTCATTCTGGGATTCAGAGCCAGCTACTATGGTTCCAGAGCCCTTGCTATTTACCTCTCTACTCTGTCCCCTCCGCAAAGTCTATACTCTTTGCTCCACCCCCGGCTGAATACAAATGGTTTGATGGCCTCAGGGACAAATTTATCTAGGTGAAAACATTCAGGGAGTATTTTAGTAGTCACACTTTATGGGAGGCAATGTGTATTTAATCAGTCCACAAGAGGATGTCCTTTGGCTCATCCCAGGATTTACCTGTGTGTCCCAGCGGGCGCCATCCATGAAGAGGCCATGTACATAGGCCCCTTCTCGAGGAGGGCTTCTAAACTCTTCTCTATTCTTCTTGGTCACATCACATTGAAGGGCCATCTGGTCCAGTGGCCACTCATTCTTGCGAGCCATGGACTGCATGATGGCAGTCAGGAAGGATTGGGGGTTAAAGAAGCCTGTAAGCCACACAGTGGAGGGCATTGCAAAGTCACTTGTCCAACTTTCCAGCTCCTTGATTCGGTTGAGGAGGTCCAGAAACCAGGCTGCCAGGCCCACCGTGGAAGGGTAGGCTCGCCGGGCCCAGGGCTCTGGCACCGTATCTAAGTACAGGGCATTTTGTAAGTTCTCCATGTCACTGGTCATAGTCAGCTCTCCCTGAAGACAAACAGGAAGAAAGGATGAGTGAGAGTGTGGGAAGTTCCTGGAAACAGCCAACCTCAGACACCTCTGGCTCAAATTACCCAGATGGGAGATAGCTCTAGGTGTGGGTGACACAATGATTGTCCATATGTAGTGCTTGCTTTGCAAGGTTTGTTTCACGGCTGCTGATCCTTGAAAATCCTGCCTGCCTGGGCTGGGCCTATAACCTATAACCCCAGCACTTTGGGAAGCCAAGGTAGGAGTTCAAGACCAGCCTGGGCAACATAATAAGAGGCCAGGAGTTCAAGACCAGCCTGGGCAACATAGTAAGACTTCTGTCTCTACAAAAAAATCAAAGCAAAACAAACAAAACCCCATGAAAACCCTCTCTGCTCTGGTGATCTCAGGGTCTCACCTCTCTATGAACATTACTTCAAAAAACACAATTGCTTCCCACCGTAGACCTTAAGCCACCTGTGAGTTCCATGCTGCTTGACCCAACCATAAAGCTCAAGTTCATGATTCTCCTGCATGTAGCTTATACACCCAAGAGACCAAAGCCTGCAATGATCTATGTTCCCCCAAATCAAGGATTTCCTTCAGAAATTAAGCTGTTGGATGTATAAGCAATGGGATCCTCTTTCAACTGCTAAATGGAATTTGTAAAGAAAGGTTTACAAGTTAAACATTGACTTTGCCAATGTGGCTTCTTGAAGATCCCATTTCTATTGTAGTGGTTCCCATAACAGGTGTTAGGGTACCCGACAGGGTTTGTTTTTCTCATTAAGGGCAGACTGCTAAAATATGAGAGAAGTCCCTACCCCCATCGGGCCTGGAATCACCTTGATTGTGGGACAGGAGACATCATGAAATTCTAGGTGTATTAGGCACTAAAGATAACCCAAGGAACTCACCACAATGTCTTTCCTTGGTTCCTGAGGTTCCTGGACAGTCTTTATTCTTCTCTGCATGTTTCACAGTCTTCTTATGTTTGTTTTATATATAATGGTTATGGTTTTAATTTGCACTTAGTAAGAGGACTAGGGAAATGCATGTCTACTTCATCCTCCCAAAAGTGGAAGAGTTAATGTAGAATTGGCATCATATTATTCTTAAATCTTGTACAGAATTAACTAATGACACTTTAAGAGTCTGGGGTCTTCTTTGTGGGAAGTTTTAAATTATGAATTGGACTTATTTAATAGATATAGGGTTGTTCAGGTTATATATTTCTACTTGGGTGAGCTTTAATGATACCTTTCAAGGAATTGATTTCCTTCATCTAAGTAGTTGAATTTAATATCAGAAAATGACTCATATTATTCTCTTATAATACTTTTAATGACTATGAAATTTGTAGTGATGTTTCCCTGTTCATTCCTGATTTTTAAAATTTTTGTATTTTTTTTCTTATAAATCTGGGTAAGACTTTTTTCTTATTGGTTAAAAAACAGCTTTTGGTTTTATTAAGTTTTCTTTATTATTTTTGCTTCTAGTTTTATTAAATCTGCTCTTTATTATTTTCTTTCTTTTGCTTACCTTAGGTTTATTTTTGATGCCCCTTTTATAGTTTCTTAGGATCAATTATTTGAGAACACTTTTTTTTGCTAATATTTGCATTTCATGCTATAAATTTCCCTCTAAGTACTGTTCTAGCTACATATCACTAATTATTCTATATTATATTTTTAATTTTATTCAAAATATTTAGGATTGTTTAGAAATGTGTTGCTTAATTTCCAGATATTTGGGGATTTTCCTTGATATCGTCTGTTACTAATTTCTAGTTCAATTCTGTTATGATCTTTGAAGACACTATTCATGATTTTAGTTATCTTACATTGTTTTGTGACATAGAATATAGTTGACTTTGGTGAATGTCCTATGTACTCTTGAAGGGTATGTGTATTCTACTGTTGTTGGAGTGTCTGTGTATGATGGTTAGGTTGGTTAATAATTTTGTTAAATCTTTTTTATCTTTACTAGTTTTCTACCAACTTGTTCTACCAATTACTGAGACAGGAGTTTTGAAATTGCCAACTTAAAAAAAAAAAAAAAAGAAATTGCCAACTATAATTGTGGGTTTGTCTATTTCTTCGAGTTGTGTATTTTTTGCTTCATGTATTTTGAAGTTATGTTTTGAAGTGATTAAACATTTAAGGTTGTTACATCTTCTTCACAAATTAGCTCTTTTATTATTATGTAATAGTCCTCTTCACAAATTAGCTCTTTTATTATTATGTAATATTCCTCTTCATCTCTGGCAATACTGCTTGTTTTAAAATACAATTAGTCTGAATTTATATAGTCTCTAAAGATTTCTTTTGATTAGTTAGATCTTTTCTCATCTTTTCCTTCTAATCTTTCTTCAGTTTTCTATGTAAAATCTTCTTGTTCTTTGTTTGATAGTCAGCTGTGCTGAAAGAGTTAAAGGGCAAGCCCAAGACTGCTATCCTGAGAAACACCTGCTTGCAAGGTTGGCCCAGGCCGGCATCTGGAAACATAGCTCCTCATTAACAGTTAACTGATGAGGATGGTTGACTGTACCCAGACTACACAGACAATATGATTTATGTTGAATACATACTTACCATTTGGGAACCTGGAATTTAGAAATATGCTAGGCAGAGAGTATCTATGTGACCAGCCTATAATAAAATCCTTAGGTGCTGGGGTCTCTGATGGGAATCCCTAGGCAGAAATGTTACACAAATGTTATTCCATATTAATTACTGGAGGAAGTATGCACTCTGTGTGATTCCTCATGAGAGGAAGATAGCATATGGAAACCTGTAAATGAATTTCTCCTGACTATACCTGTGTCTTTTCCTGTTATGATCTGGCTGTGTGTGTATTCTTACTACATGACTGTAACAAATTTGAGCCATGGATTCTTGAATCCTTATAGCAAATTTCCAAATGTGGGAGCAGTCTAGAAATAGGAACCCCTGATGTAACAGCATGTAACTAGGGCTTGTTTTTTAAAAATCCAAGCTGATATTTCTTTTCAGGATCCTAGGCACTTAGACCACTTATATTTAATGTAATTACCAATATGGTAGGGTTTAAAACTGTCACTGTTTATTTCAGTGATTGCTCTAGAGCAGGGTTGAGGAACTTTTTTCTGTAAATTGTAAAATAATAAACATCATGGGCTTTGTGGGCCACATGGTCTCTGTTGAATCAGTTCAACTCTGCTAATGCAGCACAAAAGCAGACATAGACAATATATAAATGAATGACTGTGGCTGTGTTCCAATGTTGACTTATAAAGACAGGTTGTGGGCTGGATTTGTCCTGTTGGCCAATAGCTTGCAGAACCCTACTCTAGGATTTACAATATACATCTTTAACTTATCACTCTGCCTTCAAAGTAATTTACCACTTCACATATGGTGTAAGAATTGTATACAATATGCTTCTATTTCTCTCTTCTCATTTTTCATGCTGTTGTTGGCATTCATTTTGGTTCTACATATGCTATAAATCCCACAGTAAATTTTTATTATTTTTGTTTTAAACATTCAATTATTTTAAAAGAAGATTTTAAATGAGTAAAAATGTCTTACATATTACTCATATATTTACCATCTGTGGAGACCATCATTTCTTTGTATATATCCAAATTTCTATATGATATCATTTTTCTTCTAAGAAATTCCTTTAACATTTCTTGTACCATAAACCTGCTGGCTATGAATTATCTTGGTTGTCTGAAAACATCCTTCCTTAGTTTTCTTTTATGAAAGTATTTTTTTCCTGGGTAGAGAATTTTAGCTTTATAGTATTTTTCTTTTAGTACTTTAATGATCATTTGTCCACTGTCTTCTTGCTAGCACAGCTTCTGACAAGAAGTCTCCTGTTGCTGGGCATGGTGGCTCATGCCTATAATCCCAGCACTTTGGGAGGCAGAGGCAATAGGACTGCTTGAGCTTAGGGGTTCGAGACCAGCCTGGGCAACTTGGCAAGACCTCATCTCTACAATAAATCAAAAAATTAGCCAGGTGTGGTGGTGCACGCCTGTAGTTCCAGATACTTGGAAGGCTGAGGTGACAGAGTGAGACTCCAACTCAAAAAAATACAAAATAAAAAAATAAGTCTGCTGTGATTCTTTTCCTTGCTCTTTTGCATAGAATTTTTATTTTTCCCAGGACTTCAGCAGTCTTATTAAAAGATTTTTGTTTGTTTGTTTTTGGTTTTGACTAGGACTTTCACTCTGTAAACCAAGGTGGAATGCAGTGGTGTGCTCATGGTTCACTGCAGCCTTGACCTCCTGGGCTAGAGTAACCCTCCCTCTTCAGCCTCCTGAGTAACTGGTACTACAGGTGCATGCCACCATACTCAGCTATTTTTTTTTGGTAGAGATGAGGTCTTGCTATGTTGCCCAGGCTGATCTCAAACTCCTGGTCCCAAGTAATCCTCCTGCCTTGGCACCCCAAAGTGCTGGGATTATAGGTGTGAGCCACTACAACACCCAGCTTTTTTTATGAGTATCTTTGTAATGTGTTCATGAAGCTTATTCTGCATGGGGCTTGTTGAGTTTCTTGTGCCTATGGATTTGTGGTTTTCATCAAATTTGCAAAATTATGACCCTTGTTTCTTTGAATATTTTTTCTCGTCCCCTTTATCCTTCCATGCTCACCACCAACCATATCTTTTTGGGATTCCAATTATACACATTTTAGACCGCTTGATATTAACCCATAGGTCATTGATGCTTTATTCACATTTTTCAGTCTTTTTTCTTCGTTTTGGATAGTTTCTATTGCTATGCTTTTATTGTTACTAATTTTTTCTTCTGCAGTAGTAGTCAGCTATTAATCCTCTGGTGTTCATTTTTCATATCAGATATTATATTTTTCCTTTTTCCCCATTTATATATTATATTTTTCATCTCTATAAATTCCATTAGGGTCTTTAAAATTTTTTATAACTTCATCATGCTCTTGTTTCTTCTATCTTCTTAACATATAAAGCAAACTTATAATAGTTGTCTTAAGGTCCTTGTCTGCTAA